TCTGTTTGACCCCCAGATGGAATAAAAGGAAATAAAAACGGTTCTCACATAGTGAAGAGATTACATACATGTGTATGGATGCATATGACTATCTGCTCTCTTCTCTGGGTCCAAAACAAATTCACATGACTCTTTTTTTCAGACAACTTGAGGAATGTAGGGACATACTCGAGGACTTTCACCACGGACCTGTAAAGGCTTGAACCACGGGCCATTTTATGGGCCAATAAAGTGAATAAGCGCATTGAGTATTTTACGACGGTGTTACTCACAAGTTAAGGGGACAAGGAAGCAAATCAGTGGAGGCTTGGAAAGTGTAAGACTGAGAATCTTTCCTTAAAATGTTAACTGGCAGTTTAGCTTTAACGACGTACACCCAAACGTGTGTGTGCCTTGGCACTGTTTTCAGTTTGTTGCACTTTCTGATGAGTCCACAGATTTCCTATAAATCCAGGGGCTCATTCAATTTATTTTTTTTAAAGGCCGAACAGTTAATGCTGATGTCATCTGTTTCACAATTTAGCTTTATATTGTTATTCTGTCTTTATCATTGCTGTTGTTTGTATTTGCAGATAACCCTGTGGCAAATTGGATACACGCCCGCTCCACAAGGAAGAAGCGATGTCCTTACACAAAGTACCAGACTCTCGAACTGGAAAAGGAGTTTCTGTTCAATATGTACCTTACAAGAGACCGCCGATACGAGGTCGCCAGAGTGCTGAATCTGACTGAGAGGCAGGTCAAAATCTGGTTTCAGAACCGGAGAATGAAGATGAAGAAGATGAACAAAGAAAAGACCGACAGCAAAGACCAATAATGTGGACTACAGTGACACAACAACCAACAATAACCACTAGTCTAATGGACAGCACAGATGTACCAAAACACACGACAAGCGCCCCTCTCCTCCTTATATTTATCACTTTTGTTGGATTTTTTTGTATTAACCTTAACTTCCAGACTGTTTGATGCCGAATATTATTTTTTAGTGTACATTTATGTGTCGAGCGTTTAAGTAGGAAAAAAGAAAGAAAAAAGAAAACGGAAAACTTCTAAGGAGAGAATTACACTTTGCTTTCACTTCGAGATATGTGGTTTTGTAAAAGAAATTAAAGAAGCGCAGTTTGGATACGCTTAAACTGTCCGGAGAAAGAGAATACTTGAATTCCTTTGAATTTCACAAAAACCATAATTTATGCTGTGAATGTTTTCTTTCATGTTTATTTTCTTTGTACGCTGTTGTGCAGGTGTAGTATTTTGTACAGCAACATCTGCGGTCGACATGTCTGTCTTGTATTTTTGTGATAGTTGTAGCTGTATTTGTGCACATTTTCTTTCTCCTTTTTTTGACTGTAGCCTACGAGTTTAATTATAGAGTGTAGATATAGACCTCTGCAAATATAACCATAATCCCAAGCTCTTGTTTTCTGTGTTTATTGTGGCTTTGCAGACTGTGTATTTGCGATCGCATTTAGCAGACTACACGGCTGTACAGGGGATTCCAAAGCAGTATTACCCCGTACTAGAAAATAAGTAAATGGATACAAAAATTTCTGAAATTCAAAACAACAGGAAAACGGACCCAACCAAAACTACAAACGCAAAAGACGGTTGATTTATTAATAAAAGTTCCTTCACATTTTTTAGTACGCACTGTTTTGGCCGCTGAGTGTGCCCCCATTACATTAAAGGCCTAAATGAGCTCTGCTATTACAAATAATGGCGAAATAGAAAGTTTGGCGTAGCCTATTTAAGGCTTTACTGGGACAACATTGTTTTAATTTTGCTTGGCATCTCTTTGCACTTGTGTCTTAATTACAGCTTCTTAGTCGCAAACATTCACATTCATGCCGTTTTATACGTTATCCATTTAGGAGAGTAAGTAGACCTGAAAAAAACTCTCAACGCAGAATTGATTATGTTTTATATCAATAACAAAATACATAGTAATTTTTTATATAAATTTCTCCCAAAAGCACGTCTCTTTAAGGTTTTAAAATGTACCAAAACATTTTAAATGCTGGCTTAAAATAGGCGATCCTTTTTAAATTGTTCATATAATATTCTTATAGGGACAGAGATGAATGCACGAGGTTTTTACCATATTTATTTCTTTATTAGGTCAATGCCCTATATGAGTTGAAAGTAGCCCATCAACCACATTTGTGCAGTTTCCGAAAGAGTACTAAAAAACCCATTAACCACCAATTAAACACAATTTCTAACTAAATGTTAATTGCATTGCCAGGCTCATTGGCGATCAGAAAATCTGAGACCAGATTTGAAAAGTTTCGTTTTAAGCGAGAGACAGTTTCCCATGTCTCGCATTTGTTTCCTGGGATAGACCTAAATTGCCTTTTTGTGGTGGCAAACAATACGGGCAGGATGCTGTAATTTCAAAGCCCAATCCAGTGCATTTCCGCTCTGCTTGGACAAAAATGCCAGTTTTACAGCCCCTGTTGGAGCTCGGCTGTTTGTCTCAAATGCAGACCAACAAAGCAAACTCGACTAACTGGCTAGACGTCTGGGCTAAATTACTTTATGGTTTTAATGGACGCTGGTGGTGGACTCGTTCAAAGGAGAAGCATGCGCACTGTTCTGGGGACTTTTGCCTGACTGGGCCAGCCGCAAAACCCCCTGCACTTCATCATATGAGTCGTCTATTAGTCTACAATTAGATGGGAAAAGTCAATAACCATTGTGCATAAATGTGAGTGCTGCAGAGCGCTATTATCTCTTGTATAAAAGTGATCAGCTGCCACGACAGGAAACGACAGCACAGCAACTATTTCAAGTCTACAGACAAGCAAGACGAAGACAGAAGGCACGTGTTTTATAGATTCCACAGTAATTAACTGCTTTAACTTTATTTAAAGAAAAATACAGGGTGCACACATCCTCTATACATTCAACCCTTTCTGGCCACATAGCAGTTGTCGCTGATTGGTGGAGTTATTCAGGTTTAATGACACATTTCGACACTAGATGACGCTGTATGTCCACGTTTTGAGGAGTGTGTCTGCGTTGAAGAGCTTTTTTACAGCTCTGTGGCTTGGCTGAAGAGTGAAGAGTAACCTATCGATGACAAAATGACAGATATGGCCACCAACCACATTTTGTGTAATAGGCCACAGAACAGCAATCCGGAATGCAGCCAGCTGGTTGTTGTGCTGGCCAAACAATCTGTGCAAATATAGTAATCTTTTTTTCACTTCAGAAAAAAAGATTATGCTTTTGTTATTTACTCGGGTTTTTTTGTAGCTTCTTTCATTGTCTGTGGATTCATGAGTTAATACGGCTGTTTTGTGGGTGGTAGTTGTGTGCTCAATTCTAAAAACGCAAAATCATATCTGCAATATACATGCAGTACATGTTCATAGCCTTTTACAAAAACGTAATTAAGCATAATACATAATAATGCATAATCTGTGTGTTTTTTATATTTGCTGCCTCTGCTTTTCAAGCTGTAAATTCAAACCAGACTGAGACACTTTATTAAAAAAAGTATTTAAAAAATCCACAATTAATAAAGAGCCGAAAATCACATTCAGCCAGAGACTCCTTTATTAGCAGTTTTTAAACAGTTGCATCTGTAACATAAAATCAGTGCAATAAATAAATGGCAACAAAACAACACATCGATAACAAAATCAGCAAAAGCATAAACCGCTGCATCAATAATAATAATAACAATAATAATGATAATAATAATAATGATAATAATAATATGTCCAGTAAAGAAAGGGCTACCTGTACCATTTTAGTCCTCAGTCCGTGTCGGTTGTAACGTCTGTACCAACAATTCAAATTCTCCAACAAGTGATTAGCAATCTGCATATTTATAGAGTGTGAAAGGTCTATAAATGCGTCCAGTGCGCCTTTCATATTTTACGATGATGTGTAGAAACCGTCAGTAACCCCACAAAAACCCACACAGGCATAGAGACCACGCGAGTACTGAGCTGGGAATCGTGCGAGTTGATTGCACCTAAACATTCAATGTTAAATTTTATGAACTCCCCCGTGTGAGATTTACTGCCCATCCTCGTCGGTTTTACGGGGTCAGTAAATGGCACCTATAGCATTCATAGGTCGTGTTTATATTTGCGTGCATCGGTGCTTTGGAGCGCCTGGCGGAAATCTGTCGCCTTGGCCTCTACACGGTTTTGCATCGAGGAATGTTTTGTCTTCAATTCGGTGTTTTGCTCGGGGGACTGAACAGCTCCGAATCTGTGTTGTTTTTATTTTTAATACCGTTTTAATGCTGTTGATAAACTCCCAAATATCATCCCGACCCAATGGAGCCCAAGAAAGGCCAACTGTTTTCTGGGAACTTGTATATAACCTTCAGGGCATGATAGAAAAAAATAAAAAATAAAAATACCTCATCACAGCAGCTTAATCCGCTTAGAAAGAGGGGAAATCCTACCTGCTTTAAACACCTCATAACCCCCATACAAAGAAGCAAAACTATAAATTCAGACTACACAGGAAATGTATCATGCTTCATCGTCTTTATATCGTAACCATTTCACAACTGAATTGTTCAGCTTGTAAGAAAGGTTTTTTTGTGTGATAAACTTAACATTGATCATATTTACAGCCTCTTAGATTGTTGGTTATGATTAGTGAAGCCTTTCTCAAGGTGGATATACGTAGGGCCCACGTCTGACCGGTCATGGAAAGATGAAGGGGTGGGGG